AAAAATAAAACTAACCAAATTTTAGTTGGGTTACTAATTATATTGTATTATTGGTCTCAGTTATGTCAAAGATGAAAAGATTGTATGCCATGCAGCAAGGGATGAGGAAGTGTTGTATAGCGCATGACTCCTATAATCTAGTTATTATTTAGGAGTGACTGTGGTTATTTTGAATTATTTAAATAGTTCTCTGAGAACTGCCGATGTGTTAGTCGATTTTCCGAGTCACGCACTAGTTTAAAGGTTGTTTTAAATTCAATAGAGGATAAACTAAAATGTTTCCTACTAAAATATCTAAGCAATGAATGGCCAAGTCCTAAATGACTTCACTAGATAATTTAATAAAATACATCAACTAGTGTTATTCGCTATCAATTGGAAAATCGACTAGTTAGATTAATTATCCAGTATTTTTGTTCATGACGACTTAAATTCATATTTTTGTTAGGAATTTTTTGTGGTGCATTAATATTGTAAGGTGAATAAGGTGTAAGTTGTGAAAAATATATCGTGTCATTAGAGAATGCAACATATCAGTTATGAAATTGTAATTAGTATTGCCATTTAATAAAAATAAGTCGTTTAATTAACGGGTTTGACTTGTGCCCAAGTATCCTTTTCTCTTCAGTTTTTATTTAGAAACGAGTTTTGAAGCCAATATTTAGTCAATAATTGAAATAATAATAAACACTTGATTGACTGAATAGCTTTACTTTTTCTAATATAATGCGAAAGAGATAAAAGACATGATTAGAATGGCCTAGGCATTGTAGATTGTTAAAAAGTAAAAAATACATAATATTTAGGAATTGGAAAGGGTTGCCGCGTTTCTTGCATTTTCTAACGTGTATTTTTCACAGCTTACGCCGTGTATATTGGAAAGGAGTTTTGTATAATTTATTGTGAGACAATCTCTGTATCTTATCGTATATATTGTCTATAGGCTAGGGTTACCATAACGTTGTAATGTATCTATGTGTATTATTTCAAGTCACATTGTGTAAATAGAATTTTTTTGGTAACGAATTATATTTTTTTTGTGATCGTACCCTTCTTTTTTATTTCTTTCCTTTTTTTATTCTTAGTCGATTCTTAATCGAGTATATTAATCGATTTAATGTTAAAATTTAAAACAGGATTATAATAGGCCTGAGGATATTTTTAAGTGTTTTTTAATAGCACAAGCTCATCATACGGTGCTGTGTTAAGAAGGTAGTTCTGTGTTTTAATCTTCAGTAACTGTTTTGTTATTATCCTGTCACTGCCAAAAAAACTACAAAATATTGTTTTATTTCGAAATTCTACATTTTATTAAAATTTTTATAAAAGAAATCGACTCTTTTTATACTCTATTTTGTTTGAGCTTCATCTTAGCCTAGTTTTGCACTTTTTGATAAAGTTTTTTTTTCTTATACATTTATATAAAACTTAGTGAATTTAATCGTAAGTAAGTACATATACTTCGTTTGTTTGTCTGTGGCATACAAAAGGTATATTTAAGTGATAGTTTAAGGACAGTATAGCGAGGAGGTAGCTTGTTGTAACTGTACATATACGCTGGCGTTAATAAACGGATAAACAAATTATTTTAGCGTTTTTATTTTTTCCAAAATTGGCAAAAATTGTAATAGACTAGTATAACACACACCCCAAAGTAAGTATGAGTCGTCATTGGAACTTCTTGCGAGGCCAGTACTGTCGAATTTTGAAACGGCCGCGCGTTCATATAGCAACTATCGTAACACAGACGTCATCTGAAAAACATACCTTCTAAAATTATTGAATTGAAGAACAGAACTGAGTTAAACTGGTCAGTCACTCCAACAGCATCCACAGATGTCCATAGCAAAAATAAAGAAAGATGGACCCTACCCAAGACATTGAGATTCCTCCTTCTCCGTCATATATAAATGTATTTTGGTGTTTTGGCTGCTTCTATACATTCAATATCCTGAATATCTCTAGATATTTGGCGCTGATTGGATATAAAGCAAAGAAAGACATTTATTACTCAAATAACACTACTTGGTTCCACAAATAACTCATGATAAAACCACTATGTTTATTATCCCTTTAACACGTAAAGCGCCATGGGGTTCACCGGTGACCTCCGTTAGCAGAGGATTTGCCTGCAACATTTTTCTATCGGCAGTCAAAGGCTTAAATCCCGGAGCGATTATAACCGCGTATACCCCCGGTATACGCGAGACACTATGTATTTTCTATTGTCTTATAAACCAGTAAACAAGAGGATTAAAAATAACTCGGAACGGAATCACGTTTGGAACTTCGTGCCATGGTAACATCTATTTAGCTCAAAATGACCTACCCTATGTACACACACAGAATTATTAGAAGGTGGCACCAGATTTCATATTAACTCTGGCATCATCTTTTTGCAACCAAACTCAAAACCTTTCCAAAAGTTCCGACTTAAATTATTAAAAACTCTTAGGTGCCTAATCCATTATGCCTACATAAACTTATGTAATTTGTTTTAAACTGTTCTAATATGTGGCATGCTAACTATCCTGCACAGAGCCAATTAATTTTCAGCGAGGTAATTAAGTCTAGCCTGAGTATTGTTTTTATGCATATTGAAATTAAAAATGTGGGCGATAAAATGCCACGCTTCTATTTGCCTGACCGGGTGATAAAATGGAACTTACAGGAAATCGAAATAAAACAACACTTGCATTTGATTATTTATTGAACATTATACACAAGGTACATAGGTGGGCTTTGTGCCAAAAAGCGGTTTTGCTAATCAACCTTTCATACAGGGACCACCAAGAATGGCTCGCCCGCATCTCATAGAATTTACTGCCATACTAAAATATGGATAATCGATGGACGGATATACTCGAGACAACTACGACTCATATCGTCGTACCCAGCGGTCTTTGGTTTTATTGATAAGATAATCTTTTTGATATCACCTAGAGAAAATTTTAAACAGTCAGTACTAACACACGGAGGGCCAGCGATGAAGTCTACCGTTTCTCTAATCATCAAATGGATGTGTCAGACTCTTACTGGTACGTTGGACGGATCAGATTCGCACCACTCTCAACACTATGCAGTCCACGATGCTCTCCACTCGGCGGCAGATAGAAATAGATGGCGGAGAGTAATACGCAGTACACTGCTTCCACGAGGTGGTCACGACCCTCAGCACTGAGGAAACCGAAGCGAGGAGGAGGAGCTAGAATTTTATAGTAAAAATACTGCGCTGATAGGTAGCAACACCGCCACCTTATTCGGGAGAACGTCAACGAAAGTCGAAACAGACTTGTGTCCGAAATCGAGACCAACATTATCATATCCTCATCATATACATGGATGGCAATCAACAACATTGAATTGATTTTCACCTCCACTTCCTGTAACTTCCGAAATTGCTGCAAATCACCTACCACAAGTCTCTGCACTACCAAAAGGTTGACTGGCAGAAAATGCTTCTAGCATATATTAAATAACTAAAACCAAACAACTGTGCGATTTTCGCTATAAAACTTTCTGCCTTGCACAGCGAAACTTTGCAATGGTCTTTCAGCGGTGGTATTTTCGAACCGATACGATCTTCAAATCTTCAAGAAGCCTTGGTTCAACCTTCTGGTGTTGCAGGAGTCCATGAGCGGTGCTGATCGCTTACCATTAGGTGATCCGTCTGCTCATTTGCCTCCTATTCCATAATTATATTGCCGTGTGAATAAGGTTACTGGCGGCCTCCCATCTCCCCATCCCTTCACAATCCTTAAATATCCGAAACTCTTATCCCCAAAAGGCCGGCAACGCACTCGTAACTAACTCTAACTTCTATATGATTGAACTAAGTGAACGCCAAGACGCCAACGTTACCGATTAACCGATTGCTTACCATCAGGTAATCTGCTCGTTTGCCGACCTATACCGTAAACAGGCGAGCATCGAGTATATCAGTGCTAGAGTATGACGCTTAACGATTTTTCTTTCGACAAGTCACTGAAATCGCTATCAGTAATTGAATGCGTGGTTTTGCCATGAGGCAAAACAGAATGCCAAGTTTTAATCTGTTTTTCTCTAAGGCAAGGTGTAATGTTTTCGCTTATTTCACATTATAGGGTATCACGTACACCTTTAAATATCCTGTTTCGCCGCGGTGGACAAAAGCGGGTTAACCGCCTTACACGAGCGTTAGGACCTGGCTCTGATCTCCTGCAGTAGCCGATGGCGGCAGGGGAGTGCTAATATCAATGAGGTCTATCTACTTTTTATTTAATATGCTCCTAGGGGTACCTCTGCCTAGGTGAGGTAGGATAAAGTAACTTTATTACCGGGATAGGCGATCGACGTTTATACAAGATTATGGTCCCGTGTCAATATAATTAAATAAAGTGTATGTGATATAGTATAAAGGTGATATATATTTTTTTTAATATAAAAAACGTTGCCCCACTTTAGGATTTTCTCCTGTGTTGTGGGTGCGTTTACAAACATACAATGTCACATACACATGACACCCAGACCCGAAACAACAATTTGTAAATCACACAAAGTGTTGTTCTGCGCGGGAATCGAACCCGCGACACGTTGCACGGCAGCCAGTTGCCCAGCCACTGCGCCAACCGTACAGTCTATTGTAATTAATATAATGATGGTATAACATAAAGCATAGATCTGCTAGCTTGCCGTCCTCTCCTGTAAAATTTTACTGACTGATTAGGACCGTCAGGACCGACAATCAAAAAGGTCTCATTCCGTGTTAGTACAAAGCATTTAAAAGGAGAATGCTGGTTTTTCGGTTTTAAAAAATCTCTGTATTAGAATGAGGGCTCATCATCAGCCCTATTAAGGATTAAAAAATAAAACAAAGTCTTGAAAAAAAGGCATTTTATTAAAAAAAGAGGAAAATAAAATGACAGAACACATAGCGCAACATTTATAAATAATAATAATAATATATTATATTATATTATATATTATATTATGGTATATTTTATACGGATCCACATAAAACATTATGTGTTAACACTTAGTATATAAGATACACTTATAGTTTGTCATGATTTAATTATTTATTAAGAACATTTCTTTTTGTAACTTAAAAAACAACTTGTGCTACAAATATTATGTACTGGACAGAACAATACACTATTCGACTAGTTAAAACAAAAATTTAGTCGATTTTTTCAAAAAATTAGGCACATCCTGGCAATATAATCGACTAAAAATCTCTAGCGATTTGATAGATTAACGCAGTCTGTATTTAGTACCATATTATCTAGGCCTTAAGACTTAGTTTATGCCTTATACGGGTAGGAGGGAAACTAAGGCACAAAATATTTGTAGCAAGATACTTTTACAGTCAGTCACTCTAATGAACAAAAAATCAACAATACGCATACTTACATACGAGAAAATTCTATATTATACTGAGGATTGTCCAAATTGCATCAATCGTGACAGCGGATAAAATTACTGTAACAGTATAAAATTGAGTATCGATTATTCGATTCCGGCTTTCAGCTTAGTCGATTTTTTTTAGTTTTGTCTTTTTACTGCTTAAAAATGTTGGTTTTTCAATGCCCAGTTACAATTTCAAAAGTCTACTAGGTGGTCACTGTGAAGTTATGGCCAAATATTAATTCCTAAGATAGTAAGGTATAAATTTGAAAGCTCAAAGCGCGTGTATATTAAGACTATTAAATATTAGACTTATTGCACATTCGACGATTACAGATCACATTTTTGTGCGAAAAAGCACAATTAAGTATTAAAACTTAAAAATAAATATTTCGAGTTATACAATTTCATTTTTTTACAATAAAACATTAAGTGTTGTCAACAACAAAAATAATAATAATAAAGAAATAATGGTAACTATAAAATTGATTTAATATTGTCGTAACTTTGAAGAAATGAGGTAGAAAATTTTGTGTAAAAATTCTTAAAATCGTTTGGCTGACATTTTTAAAATTTAATCGTTTATAAAAGTATTTTATGTGGTAATGAAATCTAATATTTTTCGAAATTGGCTTTGATGGTGGGCTCTAGCGATACCTAAACTAATTCTAACAATTAGCGCCGAGGGAATTTGATTTGCTCAGACGGTAGCGGCGTAACGAACAAGACTTGGTTACAGCTATCAATATATCCTTACGTCATAGTTCATACAACAGTAATACAATATCATCTGAATAAAACTCCTTCCAACAGTGACAAGCGGGTACATTATCAAGATTTTTAAAAAGTCAGCGACGCTGAAAAATCCTAATTTCCACTTAAACACTAATTTTAAACTTCATTTTTTCATATAAATATATGTAAAAAAGCCTATATCGTATATATTTCAGCTGGGTACATATGTGTTGTACTTATGTTATAATAATTTAAGTAGATTTGTTTGAAATCGATGCTTTGTGCACTTCGCAAGCTATTTGACTCTCAATAGAAATCACAACATTCTTATATTTTTATCTGCGTACGGAGATGCGATGTATGTCCTGTAAAAAACAGAAAAAAAATATATAAAAAAATTGAAAATGTTTTTTCTTTTTTTTAAGGTGTTAACTTAACTGATGTGTGCGGGTAGTGTTTTTTTAATTAAGTTTTTTTTAATTGATTGGAATATAAAACGCTTTATATACCTACTGTTTTATATATATTTATCCTGCGCACTTCAGCCAAAGTAACACCTCATCTGTAAGTAAATATACAGTATATAACATACATATATACATATACTACATAGACACAAAACATGCAGACGACATCTATAGCACATGATGGGAAAATAACATAAAAACAATTTTTTTTCTAACCTCTTTTAGATTTTTTTTCTCTGAAGAACATAAAATTACAAACAATAAAGCTTAGAGTGTTTTGTTCATGTGAAGGAGTTTTGATTTTACAATATCTTCTCATCATGTTGAAACAAAAACACATCGATAGCAGAACGTCCACGTGAAATAAGTATACATCTAAATCAATAATCTTAAAAGAGCGTTTCAAAACATTTTCCTTCAGCGAAATATAGATATAAAAAATAAAAATATCGCAGTTTATTAATTGATAATAACGTAATATTATTTTTAAAAAAAAACCATGCATAATAACTGCTAAACACAAGCTTGAAACGTGAATTGAAAAAGTTAAAAAAAACACGAAAAAACAACGCCATGCCAAAAAATAAAACACATTAAAACGCAAAATAAATATTGACGACTACAAACTTTAATATTTTTAAAGAACCTGAGTGAGAATTGCTTGTCGTAATACATATATTTTTTTTTTGTATTTTTTTTATTTTTTTCTTGCAGTCTTCTTGCTTTACTTGTTTATTCAGTTAACACTGGGAGCATGGATCTAGAAAAACATTATATTCTTATATTAATACATATTTATATTATAATATACTTACACATGTAACAGTAAATATATATTAGAATGTATACTTCCAATCTACATTTTTCATTGTATTAAAAAAATATATTCTTTGAAAAAATAACAGAATTATAAATAAAATTACGCTATTTATTTAAGGCCAAAAAATATCTGCCATGTTTAAGTAATATAAAAAAATGGTAGGTGTTTTTTTTGTTGTTTTTTTTTCGATCAAAATAACACTTTTTTCAATTAATTAATTCAATTACAAATTTATTAAAATAGGTTTCAAATCTCTTTTACTTAGTAATACCAAAAAATAAAGATTTATTTTTCCTAATGGTGCTGAGAGAATAAAAATGTAGATAAAAAGTAAAAATTATCATTACAAATATATAAAAGTCGTTTTTTATTTATTTCAAAGTGGTATAAAATATCTAATAAGATAAGACTATCGTGATTGAAATATTATGATAGTGAATACATACAATTTATAAGCAAAGCAGAACTATATGTAATCTCTTCATGAAAATGAATGGAATTTATAAAGTAGTGCTTATAAAAAAATGTCGTTGCCTAAATGATATTACGATACTTTCCAATATTGTACTTTTTCTCGACTATAACTTTTCTGTTTAGAGATCTTATGAACCAAGTGATATAAATTGATAAACGACGCGTGTTGTTGCCAGCCTCAAAATAACAAAACGTAGGATTTGGATTTTTGAAACTATAAAACTTTGTTACGTTTATAAATACTTAATAGGACTTATTTTTATATTGTTATCAAGTAAATTGAAAAAGGATGTTTCAAAAATCCGACTCCATCATTAGCTAGTGAGGGCTATGTGATATAATTTAATAAATGATAGAAAACTAAACGAGTACCTTCCATTTCCAAAGCTATGGGAATGGGACCTTGGGCAGCGTTAAAAATAAAAATACATATAAGCAATACAGCATAGATGGTGTATGAAAGCCATACATTACTGAATTTACATGATATTTACGAAGTAAGTATTTTTTTATGTAATAGACCGGCAAACGAGCAGACGGATTACCTGATGGTAAGCAATCAGCGCCGCCCATGGACACCCGTAACAGAGGAGTTACGAGTGCGTTGCCAACCTTTTGGGGATTAGGGAATTTGGAGATTTAGGGATTGGGGAAGGGGAAGGATTGGGCATCCGGAGACCTCACTCACACGGTGAAACAAAATACTATGGTTGTTTCACGCCGGTTTTCTGTGAGGCCGTGCCGACCCATTCGTGCCAAAGCATGGCTCTTCTATAGGTAAACGAGCGGGCAGATCTCCTGATGGTAAGCAATCTGCGCCGCTCATGGACACCTCTCTTTCCACTCGTGTCTTGTAAGCTTTTTGGGGATTTGAGGATTATGGATGGGGGAGGATGAGGTATGTGTACACTGGTATATATGTACTGTCAAAAAAAACTAGCGTGTATGGCTTTCAAAAAGTAAAATGAGCCGATCAGTAACTAATAGTATTTGAATGGTGATTAATTATTATAAGCAACTGTGGAGGATTAATCCAAATAATATTACACATTCTCTTGAATCCATGTTGTAGTATTAATTACTGGTTAGCTATTAAATGTAAAATATTTCTAAATAGTCATATATATATTGCAAGTGTATTGTTATGTATTGTTCAATGCATATTTTTACTTTCATCAGAGATTTTTTTAAACTTTTGCTGTCAGAATCACAGTCAGAGTCAAAAGCCATTCCAACTAAACCATAAATAGGTACTTTAGAAACGTCAAAACAGAATAATAGTCTGTCAGTCGGTTCGTCAGTGAAGTTAGGTAATTTATAAGTAACACACTTATTACTCAAAAAAAGGCTGATCAAAGTAAAAATATACCAATTTCCCATTTTAAAAATATTCGCACTTTTTAAAAAACCTGTTTCCGTCCTTTATGGGACGCCATATTGCCAGCCTGAAATACCAGCTCATTATTTTCTCGGTTAATAGCTTAAAATCAGCACATATGGTTTTGGGTTTCTTAAAATGTGCAGAAATACCTATAATTTATGAAAGCCAATAGTAAGCTTATGTTTTGAATAAAATGTACCTAAATTATAATGTTAAAATTACATGTATCTAGCGTACTTATCAACTACAGATGTTATGAAAATTAGCGACCTTTTAGTAAAAGTTAGATGGCGTTGTTTAATATTTAAACATAACTTTAAAACAACCCACGCCATTTTATTATAAAAAGGTAAAACTTGTAAGTTTGTATATAGGGGGCAATCTTTGAAACCACTAATCGTATTTCTGAAATTATTTCACTAACAGATAGCTACAATATTCTCGAGTGCTATGGAATTAAATGGAACCGATCGGTTGTTTGTGGTTTAGTAGTTTAATTACTTATTCACTTAAGAAAAATGTGATATTTTTTCTAAAGTGAATGATTTTGTAGGAATATCTGAAACTGTGTATTAAACTGAATTATTATTATGAAAATTATATGGCACTGGCGCGAGTGATTTCATCCAAGCAACGTAAAATAATAATGTTAATTTTTGTCTCTAGCAAGGATGACTGCGCTGTGTTTTAGGTATCAAGCGAATCGGCTTGTTGTTTACTTGCTTACACACCTTGAACCTCTACTGGTCCTCAAACAGAACAGGAGGACTATACAAAACATTAAAATGTGTTAAAATATTTATAATAAAAACTACTACATATGGAATTGACGTTTAAACGTCAATGTTGCCGGTCTGAGAATTTTAGTAGATTCTGCAACTTTTGCCTTGTTATATATGAAATTAAATAAATAGACTTTTTAATATTTCTAAATAGAGATGAGTATTCTGGCCTAAATTATGTTGGCAGTAGCACTCATAGATTTTTTTAAATTGTGTTTTTTTTTGCTATATGATAACGTCTCTTGTTATACTAAAGTTTTCAGATTGGCTGCCTGCACTATATTAGAAGGTCAATAAAAGTGTAAGTAGATATTAAAATGACCAAAATATCCTAAATATAATGTGTGAATGAAAATTCTACCTTTATTATTAATATAATAAATAATGTAATATAATAAATATTTCAATTACAAGCTAAATACTTACCGTGATACAGATAACAAAAACTAATTAATATTGGCGCCTTTTTATTTTTGTGTTGCCTGGTAATTAAATTTCTTCTAAAATAGTAGATTTATTTTACATATTAGAAATGAATTTCGAATTGAAAATACGGCGCCAGCAATGCAATTATTTTTAACATGGAGCAGGAGAAAATGGTATGTGATGATGTTATTGATTTTTAGTGTTACTCGTTTTTTTATAACTTTATGGTTTTTGAAAGTCTCGTAAAATCAAATCGTTGTAACAATTGAAAGTAATTGGTCAGTTTCTCTATTTTAGAAATATACTAGTGTTTCTTTTTCAATCCCTCTATCTTAGAATCAATCCAACAAGAGATGGTAGGTATTGATGAATCTCTCAAAAACCAAGGGTTAGGGTTGATGGGCAATCAACTACGTTTTTAATAGTATGTGTGTTAAAATTTGAACTTACAGCTCCATATTGTGCACGGTGGACCGGGGGCAGTTGGTGGCAACCTTGACGTGGCAATGCTTGTGGCACTTGAGCGTACAGTCGCGGCACTCGTAGCCTTGCTTGCCGAGCCGCCGCGCTATAGTCTTCGTGCATACTTCGCACACTGTGCCACTACAAATTTAGGGAGTCAAATGTTATTGATTGAAAGAAATATTTAGTTGACGTTGATATTGGTGATTTCTGCGATAGCGCAGATATAGTTACAGACAACGAAATGACCTTTTGTAAGCAATCAATCATAATTGCAAAATTTGCAAAATGATTATGAATTTCAAAAAATAGTTTGCTATGCAAAATTTTAATGATGCGTCTTAGTTTATTTGAACAAGGAAGATATAGTATAAAATAAAAGTATGATTGTTTTAAAAAAGAAAACTGTACGAAAGGTCGGATCGTTTGAAGTTATAACAACGGTCTCACTTTCCCTCGAAATCGACAACCAGGGCAAAACAAATCTTGCTTTGTATTTCACTGTGTGAGTGAGGTTTCTAAAAGCTCAAACCTTTCCCCAACATCCTTAGCTACCCCTTTAAGGAGTAACATATCTGCAACACCTCTGGTGTTGTGGGTATCTATGGGCGGCGACATATGCTTACCATCAGATGAAACCCTCCATACCATTTGGTCGTTTTTCGAAAGGTATAAATAAAAATTCTATTAACTTACCCACTAAGATGCTTGGCGATGAAAGTATGTTCATTGTAGATATGAAGCTTGATACCCTTCCGTCTCCATCGGGACCTCTGGGCAATGGTCAGAGGCACCAAATAGTGCTTCTTGATACCAGCTTCTATTGTCTCCAGAACCAGGGTCGAAGCCTCATGGATGAATGTCCTGGCTGACGCTGTACTGAATCCGGAGACCTCACTGAGAGACGACCTTTTAGTTTTAATTGATTTTTCCGTGGGAAACAATTCATGCAAGGTTATGAATGGAAATATTTATGAGGGTGAAGATAGGAATATATAGTAATTTGGTTTTGGAATACATGCCAAAATATAACGTCGATATAAAAAACATAATAATAAAAATCAAGTTAGATGATAAGTAAAAAAATAGTGCACAAAGCATTAAAAGAAAAAAAACATAATAATACAAAATCAAGCATTTCCATTCGCGCATACAAAGTGACATAATATGGAAAAATGTCATAGTTTAGTATGAAAAACCAGTGTTACCAGATTGCAGAGTGCCATTACCCCCAGCGCATGTGAGTGTTGATAGATGAAAAAAAGAGAAAAATCATTTATTAGTGTCGATGTTACCATACTCCTAATTTGAAAAAATACTGTTTTTGATGGCAAGACAGCATTATTTTAGTTAAGCGGTGAAGTTAGTAATAATTTAAGAGATATAAATAACTTTGTGATAAAATTGTGTAATTGTTATTTAATTAGAAATAATGTAGTCTTGCCAAGCATCTACGATATATTACGAATTAGATTTACCCAAGCATATTTTAATGTTTTTTTTAAGCTCGGGTTTTGGCCAATCTGTTATTAGAAGCTAAACCTATTAAAATTGTAATAGTACTCATATTAAATAAAATTCGGTGAAGGAAAATATTTTAAATACAATTTCAGTATTTTATTATAGACACCACTTTTTTATAAGCAGTAGGGTCTTTCCAAGTATTTACTTTGACAAGAACATGGAATTTATGGACTCAATTTTGAATGAATGTTTTTGTAAGCCTTTCCCACACTTTCCCAATCACCGTGATGATCAAAACATGAAATATACAAGATATAAGTATTATATAAACTTACTACTATTTCTATTGTCCTATCAATCATAATATTCAGTCGAATTAGTTACTAAAAATGTAGAATATGACTGACTGATTGACTGACTAATTAAAAACGCTTAGTTTTACTGTAGCTAATATATTTACACACTTATAATATTTATAACATTTTTAATTTATTAAGTATTATTTTATTTTACTTTATGAAACAAACAAAAATATAATAAAAGATCAAAATACAATTTGAATTAGGACTAAATTTCCCAGCAAAAATATTATGTATCCAATCTTAATTGTTTTAAAAACATAGAATACGTAGAAATAATATTTCCACATTTATAATATTAATATTTTTTTTTAATTTATTAAGAATTATTTTATTTTACTTTATGAAATAAACAAAAATATAATCAAATATCAAAATACAATTTTAATTAGGACTAAATTTCCCAACAAAAATATTCTGTATCCAAATTGTTTTAAAAATATAGAATACGTAGAAATCTAAACTTAGAATTTTCAAATTTTATAGACTTTAATTGGGACACCGTCTTAATAACATATAACTGTTCTTAAATATAACTTGAGTTCCTAGTTCCTAAATAGTGTTACTTTCTAGTGAAGTGAGAGTTTAGTGCAATGATCATACCTTCTTGATGTCCGGGATTCATCCCCGGACTGCGCAGGCGATGCGCCCGCTGAGTAAACGTTCCTATTCGGGATGGACAGCGCCTTCTCTGTAAATATTAATAATTCAGTAAGTAGCGAGTATCTCTTGGTATGGTAAATATAGTAATATAGTGAAATACAATATCAAAAAATATCAATACTTGTTATTTGTAACAGGATCAAAGGTCGTTAATAATTGGCCTAACACGATCAAAAGATACGAAAACTATAAGATAAAAGAGTTGCCGGATAACAGTTTGCTAATCCTGCGTGAAAGAGTAAATTGTCATATATCAAAATAGCTGCAGGAGTATTTAAAGCAAATCCCAAACATTTACGTGATATCGTGATGGCCTGGAGGTTAAGGAGCGCGCTTCTCATGCATGAGGGTAGGGGTTCGAAACCTGGCAAGTACCAATGTGACTTTTTCCGACTTATATGTACTTTCTATGATTATTTTGACACCACTGGCGGTACGGTGAAGGTTATAAGTTGAAATCGCCAACCCGCATTGAGCAAGCGTGGTGATTAATGCTCTAACAAAAAGAGGCCTTTGCTCAGCAGTAAGCACTTATAGGCTGATGATGAAACATTTTCACTCGTAACTAGAATACTTAATATTTTATTTATAACCTGTATCTTCCCTCGCTAAATGGGACTATCCACACAAAAAGAATTATCAAATTCACAAACTCTTCAGGTTTATAATTATTATCAGTATATATAAATTGAACTGGCTTTGTAAAGCAACATGATTGGTAATGGAACTCACCATGTGCATTCCTCTCGGCGCTGATACTGCGTATGCGACTCTGGTTCTCAACCTCTGAGTCTGTGAGATCTAGAGACGCACCGCGAGTGCGGGACCGGCCCAGTCTGTAAATAAATGCATACTCACAGTCACTTGTACTATCTACTTTATATTTTTAGAAATAAAAAAGTGTATAGGATAATATTAACCAAATTGCTTAGAATAAATTAATTAAAACCTTAGTTCTGTGGGCCAAAAGGCAAATATCAAAGTAAAAAAAACATTTAGGTATTTAAAATAAACAACATACTGGTTGAAAATTTAGCTTTAACTGTACCTACCTGATGTACTGAATAGATATCAATGAGAATGAAAAACAATGAAACGTGAGAATATTTTGCACTGTGTTTTTTTATGTGATAGTCCGGCAAACGAACTGACAGATAACCTGGCGGTAAGCAATCAGCACCGCTCATGGACAACCGCAACTACGGAGGAGTTCCGAGTGCGTTGCCGACCTTTTGGGGTATAAGGTATTTTGAGATTGTAGGAGAGGAAGGATTGGGCCTCCGGTACCCTTTTTTTATGTACTAAGTCGGCAAACGAGCAGACGGATTACCTGATGGCAAGCAATCAGCGCCGCCCATGGACACCCGCAACAGAGGAGTTACGAGTGCGTTGACGACCTTTTAGGGATTAGGGATTTGGAGATTGTAGGAGAAGAAGGATTGGGCCTCCGGTAAATTTCACTCACACGGCAAAACACAACGCTGTGGTTGTTTCACGCCGGTTTTCTGTGAGGCCGTGGTATCACTCCGGTCGAGCCGACCCATTCGTGCCGAAGCATGGCTCTCCCACACTTAAATGGGGAAATGATATTGCTTACCTTCTCTTAATAGTTCCGAAGAAGTCTCGTCTCCGCTTACGAGGCGCGGGCTCCGGCGGGACGTTCTCATTCTGCTGCTGCACGTAGTCACCCTGCTGAAAGGAACAATATATTTGATATTGATATTATATAGTCAATATGGCATAATAATTGGCTACTATCCTTAACCAATAAATTACATTGTGTCTAATTTTTAAAGCAATATTTTTCTCAAAATTCGCCATCGCCATCGCCCTTTTAATAATTGAGTTTAAAAAACAGTTAATTTTCTTATTCTCTTATCGAATTTAAAAAGGACTATTTAAATTTACTATCTCCGTAACTCACAAAGAGCGGGACGTCACAAAATAGTCTTTTTTAACTAATAACTACTATAATTTATAAAAAAAACTACCAATCTGTCTTATAAATAACCAATCGTTTTAAAATAGCCAATAAGATATTTACAAAATACTAATTCGGTTCTTAATTGATTATGTCAAAGTACTACATTCAAACTTATATTATAACAATAAATGATAGATAAATCAAAATAAAAATTTTAATTCATAGGTACAAGTGTTTCAAAACATGAAACAACTTTGCCGATATTATTATTATTATATTAAAAAAAACGCTTGATGGCTTTTATATTTGCAAATTCACGTAGAAGAAATTATAGGCAAAGCAAAACCGCCTGCTGTAAGTAAATTTAAAACCTGATTTGAAATTAGTAAATACGTTTTAAATAGTGCTTTGAATAACGAATATAAAATATAAATGTAACTATAAATAAATAATTTTGGAACAATAAAATATCCTGTAAAATCTTTTCCTATCTGTAAAACAACTGCAAAACCAAATCCCTAATATAATAAACAAAATCTACCAAAATACATTACACACAAAAACACAGCAACACTACTAAAAACTGTGCGCAAAAACGGGAAAGTTAATAGTTTAGTATTTGAATTAGGAAAGGTATCAACCGTCATACATTACCTCAGTGTCGCCATTGGCCTTAGCACCATTTTCCTTGATCCGTACCGTCTTCCCGGGCGATGCATTAGGACTGGCTGAGACAGGTAAATCCGTTTCGTTCACATGCTCATCAAATTTATCATCACTCTCTTGAGGACCTTCGGAATCCAACTCCCCCTTCTCCACTTCGATGAATTTCCCCGTGTCCGTCATTTCCACCTTTTTTGGTAGATTTTTTGCAGGGTTAGTATGGCAACACAGCACACGGTATTTTGGCAGTTATTTTGTGACAGTAAAACTGACATTTATAATAAATATGCGTTTCATTTTTAAATAATTGTTTCATTGTGTTTACTAATATGTGATTCTGATATTTAATATTAATCGAAATATATTTTTTTTACATACTTTTGGTTGGTTCTCGCAAAGAATGTTTATAAATAATATTATTTAAAAATTTTGGCCACAAAATAACTTCCAAAATAGGAAAACACATGCTAAGGATAAATTAACATATTTACAACAATGTTTAAAATGGTTTTGGATATGCTAACTGTATAGTTACTCTAAGCGTTAAATTCTAACTCAGAGTTATAACTTAGTTTAGATCTAGAAGCATTAACATAAAAATATATGTTTTTACACAACAATTGTTACAGTTTCTCTAAATAGCCAAGATCTTATAAATATTCAGACTTTTTAAACAGTGAATAAAATTTTTATCAAAAAGTTCTTTAAATTGTTTATATTTTAAAAGATGTTCTTTTTATTTCGTTTGATCTAAAAGATTTGACTAACCTAATAACATATTTAGTAAGTATTATCTTTTTGTCGAATATTGACGATTTATAAAGTTATGAAAAACCATGGAAACAACTCACCTTGATGGATTTCTTCGGTTCCTGATTATATTAACACAGCAAACGCACGCAATGTAAAGGAAAAACAACATAGTGTTAATTTCAATGTTGCCACGTGCAAAAAAATTAACATGCACTTAGTCAAATTGAAAAGAAGTATCTCAATATGATTATTATGTTCATTTATTTTAAGAACTAAGTCTCGATGTAATTATGTTTTTTTTCATAAAACATATAATAAAGCATTTCACCGAAATTCACTGAGCCAACGTCATTTTTGCACGTAGTATTTGTATGTGGGTCACAAGAGCACACACAATACACAAAATATTGACTATTCTTGATTAAGGCAACCCAAATTTAATAAAACCAAATTTTCTACCATTTTGGTAGATAAAGAAAATTCTGGCAACTCTGAACCATTTCTTGTTATGAATTGTTGGCTTAAAGGACTTGTATCCAGGCCACACATTCCAAAAAAAAATATTATGAATTGATTTTTTTAAATGTATGAGTTGCCTCAATCGATTTCGTGGGTATTTATGAATGGGTAATATTTCATTATTACTTATCTGTTGAATGTAACAACGAATAAAAAAACACACGGCAAAATCCTAAATAAAAACTATACGTATGTGTCTCTAAAGACAACTAGCGACATCTAGTACTGTAGATAGCTTGATGTAACAAAACATTCTATATTTAATTGTTTAAAAAAAAATCGAGAATTATTCGAGTCATTTGCAGTGGCTGTAATTATGTATCCCAGTTTCAAAAATTTTTATTCAAATTGATAAAATTCTTTCGAGAAAAATCATCTACTTATTGGGTGAATTTTTCTGACATATTAAATGTTATAAAACTGTATCATAGATGTCGCTACTTGCCTCAGTATAATATACAACCTTCTTTGACAGGTGCTCTAGAGGTGGGCAAATGTAATAGACTCACCCTTTGCACAGAGTGTATGATGAGCGTGGACTTGTTGGCTGCGTTGGTCGGGCTCAGCTCTAGTTCGCGAAGAGCCGATTCCGTTAATTGTGAGTTGTCGTGGCCTGGAACGTAATATGTTTATTTTTAAAAGAGGTATTCAAATATCGCAGTTGCTATTGTGGAGGGAAAAATCATCAAATGACTTCTCTCGTCTAGACCCTTGGTTTTAACCGGAATGATATCACGGCCTCACAGAAACTGGCGTGAAACAATTACAGCGTTGACTTTCGCCGTGTGAGTGAGGTTACCGGAAGTCCAATCCTTTTCAGAGAGCCCATTACTACCCAATCCCTAAATCTCTAAAAGGGCCTGCAACACACTCGTAACTTCTCTAAAGTTGCGGGTGTCCTTGGGCGTCCTTATTACACATCAGTCAGCCGTCCCATCACAAAAAAAAAACAAAAGCCGACCCCTTCTTACTGCGTCAACCGTTCAGCTAAAATATGGTCACTTACCATTCTGTTTGAATATAGTTTTGGTGGTGGTGGTCAGGTGTCCGTGCGGTGATACTGTGCGGAGGCTCTCCTTGATCTTCACAGGCCGGGAGCCCAGGTCCGGGATATCTGCTCCCTCGATGAACAGGAACTAAAAAGGGGAAGATCTTACTTTTTAACATATTATATACTAGCGACCTGCTCTTCATATATATTTATTACATTGTCTGGACTTTAAAAGAGACTGACATCTGTCTTCGCTTCGGTATTTTGCTCAGGGTAGTCGGATAGGAAATGCCGGGTTCTTCTAGTTTTTTTTTGTATTTATTATAAAAGTGCTGTTATATAGCCTATTTGCAATTACAAATTCATTGTTTCATTGCTCCAGCGTTGCCTAGGTGTTATTTACCCGCTGTTCCCGGTAAAAAAATCATTTAGCAATTTTTATAATGAAACTACTATAATAAAACTGTAAGAATGCGACAGTAAAAAACATATATTTTGATCGCGAGTCATACTCATACTTTCATCATCAGCCTATAAGTGCTTCAGCCGGGGTTGCGGGGTAAGCGCAATGAGGTACCGCGACCTCGGCACAGAGCAGGAGAAGGAACAGGGGGGTTTTTAGTCAGTAAGAGTCTGACACTCCCTCCTGCCCGGCCCTGGGCGGGAGAAGTCATTTGATGATTTTCCCCTCACAAAAAAAAAAAAAAAAAAAAAGCCTATAAGTGCTTTTTGCTTATAATTTTCATTGAGAGCTTCAAATTTTTTTTTGGTTGTATATTAAATTTCATCCAGACCCGTCCAGCCATTTTGGCGTGATTGATTAATAGACATCCAAACATCGCAGCTTTCGCATTATAATGTAAGTACCTCAACAGTGAGTGTCCCGCTGACGTCATGTTCCTCCATGGGCCGAGTCTGCAGCGCGATCTGCTGGCGCTGGGAGGGAGCCGCTAGAAGCTCGTCGATACCCACCAGGCCCAGACCTAGGAACCTGAGTAGGATACAAAGCGAATGATAGGAATGTGATAAAACTGTATTTGGCTACTACAAGTAAGTAGTCAAATTCAATAACTTATAAGAAATGTATTAAAAGTAATGACTTAGGTACTCCCGTGAATTAATTGAGAAAAGCTCTACTAATTTCAAGTCACAACGGGACTCTTAATATTAATTCATGAGTAGGGTTTTTATCGAAATGTCAAATAATTCATTTTTGGTTCTTTATTAAATCTTTGAGTAAAAATAATACTAATCAGGTGTGTCGTGTTTATAATGACTTTGATGTCACGGTTGGCGCGGTGACTGGGTGACTTTAACCTGTCGCGGATTTGATTCCACGAATGGTTAGTTCAAATATGGGTGTGATGTGTAAAAAAGTATACCTGTGCTGTGAAGGTCCACCGCCGGGCGAGGGCGGCCCGGTGCGGTCGTATACCTCAAACAACAGCTCCGCCGTCTGCGGAGACAGGTCACTGGAAATATTAACATTATGTTTAATTACATTTTCGAAACCGAAACAGTTCAATGCGAAATAGAAACAGAGCGCGTGTCTGCCGACGGCGAGTAAGGGGTCCCGACCGTGCGTAGCGTTCCGCCTCTCTCGCCTTACGCTGGGCGGAAGAAGCCAGTTGATGATTTTCCCCTTTTCTAAAAAGTCTCATTTTACAATGCGCGATAACAAACTTACACTCACACAAGTATTTCTTTACTAAGGATATTAAATAGAGTATTCTATTACTCACAATAGGAAATGTTCCTCCCATTGTGGATTAATGGTGTCTTTCTTGAAGGCTGTCTGGTTCTTCTGCGGTGGCTCATCCATCTCCACGACGCAGTACGGTGCCACGCAACCCGCTTTACCTGGAATACCAACAAGTTATTTTAAATCAAAGTGATAAGCTCAAAAATCTTTTATTTGCTACAAATTAATGGCCGAAAATGCGCTTTCTCTTTATTCTTATGTTGTTCCCTCAAAAGCAGTTTCTTCCTGAAATAAAAATACGCAAGAATTTTGTTTTCGGTCCCAAAAATAGATGTACAGCAAATTATGACCCGCAAAATTCCAAGTCTCCTCTCCTTTTACTAATTAAATCCCTAACGGCAACAAGCCCGTAACGAAGCGTCTTGTCGCACTTTGAAGTGTAGGACACACGTGCCACGAATGGGTCGGCTCTACCGCCAGTGGTACCACAATCTTACAGAAAACGTGTGGAAACAAGCAATGCATCGATTTTCTCCGTATGAGTTACCGGAGGCCAATCCAGGAAAGATTGAGCTTCCGGCAACCCCAATCCCTTAACTCCCATCCTTCCCCTATCCCTAAACCTCCAGATCCCTTATAAAAGGTCGGCGACATAATTGCGACTCCTTTGGCGTTTCAAAAAGAAGAAGCTATACCATTTACACCAAGTGTGAGCCAAGCTTCGGCAAGAATGGGTCGGCTCGACGGGAGTGATACCACGGTCTCACAGAAAACCGGCGTGAAACAACCACAGCGATGTGTTTCCAATCCCGCCTCTTCCCCTATCCCTTCCCGGTACTCGTTATAACCCCTATCCCCAAAAGGCCGGCAACGCACTCGTAACTCCTTTGGTGTTGCGGGTATCCATATGCAGCGCCGATTGCTTACCATCAGGTAATCCGTCTGCTAATTTGCCGATTTATACCATAAACAATTTTTTTCTTACCTCCTAAGTCCTTAGCGCAGACAAGTTTGACGAGCAGCCTCTTGTCTCCCAGCAGGGTGACGTTGCCAGCCGTCGAGTTTGGTGTCGACGTGTACATCTGACGGTCTTGTTGAAGCTGGAACAAGATTTTTGGAACTGTTATAAAGATTGATGAGTAGGTTAAACACAGACCGTTTAAAGAAGTCAAGTCTCCGTTTTACATAATTTTCGGGATCTGTAAAAGTTTTTTGGCCAAGAGTTTTATGCGGCTCATTTAAGAAGTTATTGCTTTGGGGATCAACTAGGCTGTGTCTCAGTGACTTTAATATAACAGCCCTCTCAAAGCCTCAAGCAATCAGCGCCTCCCATGAATACTTTGTATGTAGGTGTGAAAAATCGAAAAGTGATGATTATTGGTAGGAACTGAAGGTAAAAGCGCCCACTTCTAATTCATCAAGGAAAACATTGTAAGGACACCTGGACTTGTAATTTCTAATTATAAGTCTGAAATCCTCGATCCGCCTTGAGCAAGCGAGATTAATGCTCAAACCTTCTCCGTGTGGGAAGAGACCTTTGCTCTGCAGTGAGCACTTAAAAGCTGATGATCAGATGTGGAATGCGAGTGGTTTTTGAATTTAGGAGAGCCATGCTTCGGCTCGACCGGAGTGATACCACGCCCTTTCTCTAAATCCCTAAAACTTACCATAGAATCATAATGTAACGGCAGCCGAGGTCCAGGCGTCTCTACATACCGCCGCAGACGCGGGCACGTCGGGTAGTGTGCGAGGTTGAACTGAAGGTTTGTACTGCGCAGCGCTGCTACTACTATATCACTGAAATATGAGGGTAGTTTCTTAATTACATGAGGGTAGTATTAAAAGGTATTTTACCTATGAATATACTATTTTTTAAGGTGCTAATTTAAATGCTACGAAGTAAAATTTATTGAAGAGTTACTGATGTCGCGTTATATGTAGGTATGCTACGATGTTGCTGTGCTATTTGTATTTTTTTCTCTTTGTAGATATGTATTTGTATTTACCTACTATGGACGAGATTTCAAAAGATTGTATGATAGCCACTTATAGGTAGATGGATATTTAAAAATCCTGCCCCTAGTCAGGATTTCAAAAAGATTTCAATAAACATTCATAGACACTTACTTATACAAAGACAAAAATATTAACTAATTCATAATTACTTATCTAACATATGGATGAAAAATTTTGACATGTTTCATACTAAGTAAATGGTAGGGTTTAAAAATGTGAACAATACCTGATAGTCTGTTGTAGATCATTCTCAGTGGCATTAGGCCTGAGTGCGCCTACTGGCGCCAGTGCTACCTTCACTTCGGGCCAGCCATCACATTTCAACTCGCCCGTCAACTTGTCCGTTACACATACCACGTTCAAACGAGCGCGGAACCTGGAAATCACACCAATATTTTGTTAGACAAATATAAATGATACGTGCTTTATCATAAATTAAGAGTTTTATTTTTATAAGATTAAAAAAAATTAAAACTACCTATGACCATGCCCTGGTAACATTTTTTCTATTGCGAAAAGCGCCATCTATCCTCCAAGCAAAGAACTCTTTACTGTAGTGTTACCATTTTTTTTTGCTTGAAATATACGATAGTTTACACCAATTGTTAATTATGATTGTTTCCTTTGATAACTTAACTTTCTGCTTTTCAATCATAAAATTAAAAAAATAAATAAATTCAAGTTAATGAACCAATATTAAATCACAAAAGTGCAAGTTGGATTTAATTGGGTTTTTGTTCTGCAATTGGGTATCTGCGATTTTACAACACAATGAAATATTGAAAAAATAACTATATTTTTATTCATCGATCGATGTATAGTTCGATACACTGAATATTCGATATTTTTTAAGAAATAAGTAAACTATTTGACGCAAAAAAACTATGACGTCATAACTCAGTTTCTCATACAAAAATTGTAGAAAAGTATCGTTTTTGACATTTTGATAAAAGTATTGAATTTGACTAGATATTATGAAACTACCGTATTGCCGCGAAAATCAGTTTGACAGTGACATTTCAATGACATCTGTCAACATGACTATTTATTATTTAAAAATAAATATCGGTAATTTACTAAAGTTTTAATTGGAATACCTAATCATAAAATTATTCTGATTATGATTTTAAAATAAATTAAATGCTTATTTAAGACCGGATAGATCCATACATAAGTATTCGTTATTCTTATTAATATATAATGTATTAATGCTATTTTAATATTACTTAATAATTTATTCTTGGTTTATTATAAAACTTACCGGTTGACGTTAACTCTATAATGTGACACTTCCACTTTCTCGCCTCGCTGGCTGAAAGCCTTCAGCTGAAAGGCGGGCGTGGCTTCACAGTCACAGGTGATAGTCTGAAAATTGAATTAATATTGTAAGAGACACGTGGAAACTGGCAAATGATAGTTTATACTTGTATAATATCTTCATAGATCGCTACATTTCGTTGTATGAAATAATACTGTCGAGAACTTTCGATGTAAGATGTATATCATATGCGGTCTCGACCAAGAACAGGAGAAGCAACGCGAGGGTTTTTAGTCAGCAAGATTCTGACACTCGCTCTCACCTCACCTGGGCGGGAACAGAATTTTGATGATTTTGCCCTCACAAAAAATAAATGAATGTGTCTCGAACTTATCATTTTACACAAAGTTAAAAATCCACTACAATATTTTAGTAGCTTCAGTAAGCTAACTTTAATTATGATGCCCTATCTTGTACCAGATGAAAAAAAAAACGCACAAAAACATCGATTTTATCATACGAGAAAGCCTGCACAAAGTTGCCTGCACAAACAAACAACTCCAAAGAACAAACGCCTAACTAAATATCTTCCGCCCAAGTCTAGAAAAATACAAACATAAATAAAAGCCTTATTTTTCCTATGACAACACTATTCCTAAAGAAAATAACAAAAGTAATTTATGGATGTGACAACTCTCGATAAAGAGGTTCATTTACCCCTAAGAGATATGACACAAAAAACTTTTATATCATGACCTCCTATCTAAAATATTGTGTTAATAGTTTAGAAGAAAGCGGTAGGTCTAGACATTTTGGTTCTTATTTCTTGTCTTTTCCACTTCACACGAATATGTAGTACAACTATTTACATCACGAAGATTTACATCATAGAGGAGAGCTTAGTGTCAGGACAGTAGATTTCAGAACTGAACCTGGTTCTAATTCCAGGCAAAATATTCATTTCCAAAAAAAGTAAAGGAGTCGATATATTTTTTGTTATTTTACAGCAATTTTTTCAGTATTCGAGTGTTTTCAGAGATCTACGTATTGACTACGAAACCGCTGGTGCTACGAGATTGCTACCCGGGTTGTACAATATTTTTCCTACGTTTACAGATATTTTTTTTCATTTTTTTTCTTGAGAAATTAGTGTACCTTCCTTTGTGAGTATAACACAATTGCCTGAAATCAGTGCGATCAGAATTACGATAACAATAAATTGAACAATTCAAAAAATCTTGAAGATGATTTTTTTACCTTTCTATCCAATATTATAATTAAAAAGGTGTAGATAGGTCATAAGCGCTCAGCAAGTAATACATTAAAATGTGGCTAACTAGCAACACTTTTTCATATTTGTCTCTTTTTCACTCACGATTATTGAATCATGCCATCCCACTTTAACGTCATTGTTTCATTGTTTCTATCGGTACTTTTGTTTTCGTCAAATCCCTTTTACCTTGATGAACGGGATGGAGTATGGGACTTTTACTGACTACCCCCCCCCCCCCTCCCCTTTGTACTCGTATCCACCAAACTCCTGCTCCTAATTGGAACCTCGTTACGTACACTACATTAAAGCAATTGCTTCTACACAAAGTCTAAGTTGAGCTTACAACTATTAATAAAATATGGGTCGGTTACTTACGACGTCATCCTTAGAGTCGCACTCGCAGAAGACGTTGGAGATATTTGGCGGATGGCTGTCCAGCGCGCGGACCAGCTCCACCCCGATACCTTGCTAAAACAAGCAGAAATACATATTAAAATAACATTTTAATCGTAAAACTAAATGGTTCGTTTATAGGATAACATAACATGCATTATTTTTTTGAGATTTATGTGTACACGTGACTAAAATATATGATAAATAAACTCCTTAGTGAACCAAATAGCTTCAGAGGACTGACCGACAGACTGACACTATATCTTTGAAATTTCGTTTGACGTTCAAAAGTCTGTAAGGGCAAGGTAATAATATCTACGATGATATTTTACGATGGTATGATATTTTTACTGTGGTAAGGGTCTTTTATTCATCGTTACGATAACGCCAATAACTAGTTTTTAAAATAACGATAACGCCAATAACTGGTTTAATTTTAAACTTAGTTTTAACATAGAGAAATGAGCACGATGTGACAAAAATATTTGAATTTATCGAAAACATGAGATTAGTTTAGTAAGTACCTACTTATATACCGACATACATAGATACATAATACCGGTAAGATTTTATTACATAAACTAGACCACACACAACGAAACATTATATCGATCAACATTATAATATAATAAAGATTACATAACCCCATAAAATCGCTCATAAAAGGTTATGCACGCCATTAAATATACCATTATGCTGAAAAAGGACAACGCTATGCGTGTCCTATCACTTTCTCTTTCGTTTTTGGTTAGTTGACAATGAAATTTCGTGTTCGAATTTTGAATTGTTTTTTAAGCGCGTTGATTAATAGTAGGGGAGGAATTTCGGTAGTTACTCGAGCGCGTCAGATTAAGATATGGGGAATATTTAGTAACCAGTTGAATATACCCATCATATACTTAATGTAAACAGAGGATTTTTCGTCAGATTAGGGGGGGGGGGGGAAGGTAGAAGCCATGACAAAGAAAACGCGTTTAAAAAATCTGCCGATTTCATCGTGGTTTACAACGGAACGGGTCCTGTTTCTACCCCCTTAGTCAGCCAACATGAAACATGGAGAATATACATTATTAATATCTGTCACAAAAACAAAAGTTACACCTTACAATTTTGGGAAACTATCTATCTCTATACCTATCTATATATATCTATACCTACCCCCACCGGAGGAATGGAATGTCATCAACCCGTTTTTTATTTCTATCACCGAATCTTCAGAATCCAGTTACTCCTTACGACGCTTGTATATAAATATAGATACACATATTTAACTATATCTGCTACGTGTCATTTCCCAGTCAGCTAATTAGCTATAATTGTCAGCTCGCCTACTCAGAACACAGCTTACATAACCCACTATGACAATCGATTTCACCTCAAAGTCAAGCTCAAGGTCAGTCAGAGTCAAGGTCGATTTGTACAATACTAAATGTTTTTCTTTCATATTGATAATATAACGTTTTGAAGGTATCGGAAAGACGTTAGTTTATTGCATTGATTTAAAAGAAGACAGATACCTTTTAAAAAATATTTAAGTATAGCCTCAATATTAATTTCAAAAAAATTCTCTGCACCTGCCCTGCCCTATGGTTGACTGTTAGAGAATGCCTTAAGGCATTAAGTCCGCCATTCAGAATGTTATTTGTGAAGAAGAAATAATAAATAAATTAATTAATTAGTGTTTCACACTGTTTGAACCTCGATTTATTATACAAAGATACCTGCCAGTCTTTTTTTTCTAAATTCAGTGTGAAAGAGCCTTGTAAACTTCTGTATGAATGGGTCCGCTAGATCGGAATGATACGTTGGCTTTACAGAAATCGGGCGTGAAACAACCACAGCGTTGTGTTCTCCGTATGAGTGACGTTAGCGGAGGCTTACATTTTCTCCCCCCACCCCTTCTTTTTATTTTTCCCAGAGCAGGAGGAGCAACGAGGTTGTTTTTAGTAAATAAAAGTCTGACAACCCCTCTCACCGATGAGATTTTGATGAGATGAAAACAAGGATTCAAATTAAGAAACGCCATGAAAAGTATTCAATCTAAAGCCATGACTCAACAGAAAGAGCCTAGAAGCAATAGCATTGTTAATATTATAATGACACATTACCAGTCTATTATCTATGGTTCTCTGCAATTTCCATAGACTATTAAATTGTAGGTAATCTTCCTTCTTATGTAGTTATTACCAAGTCTTCACCTTCATGCTATGTTTCTAATAGGTAGCATGGAATAGTACATAGGTAATATTATTATGTTTTATTTTTGAAATCATTTAAATGTTTTCGATGTTTTTTTAACTCATAAATATATATTTTTATGAAACTGTAATGGATGGCCGAATTCTTGATTTTTCAAGTCAGATAGATGTTATGAGGAATAAAATTGTTGCTGTACAGTCTTACACAAACATTCTGACGCGACAGCAACATAATTAATTCCCAGATAATATTTTACTGACTATTGAAAAATCAGCCCTAAGGAGAGTAGGTATCTATCTTAACCCAATTGCTCATGCAAGGTTAAAAAACTATTGAAAAAGCTCCAATCACTCGTTGTTTGAAAACTAAATTATATCTTTTGTTTTTTAATAGGTAGGAGGCAAATGAGCAGACGGATCGGCTGATGGTAAGTGATTTAACGCCGTCCATGGACACCTGTAACATCCTTTTAAAGAGTACGCGCGATTGTTTATCGTTTGAAGGTCATATTGGTTTCTGACTTTCGGAAATGCCGCCAGCTAAAGATCATTCAAAAGTTTTGCTGTGCGGGGCAGAAAGTTTGGATGATTTGATTTTTAGGGTTCTTAAACCAGGAACCCTTATGGTTGCGCGAATCTCAGTGACCATTAGCACTAGAAAGCTGTTTGGCACCAATATGTATGTATATCAATCACGACAACAAAGTGGACAAATTGTAAAAAAAAAATTCGAAACTAATTTTGATATGCAAGCATTTTTTAACCTTTGTTTATATATTTTATTATTCTGAACGTTCTTTCAAACTTTCAAAAAAAGAATTACTAAAATCTGATAACGGAATCCAAAATTACCAACCTGTCTAGTTTGTATTAATAAGTAACCTGATTCACTAAGAGATGGCGCTGTTCTTAACTACTTACGCTGAATTGCGGTTTTAAGATTTACAATAACTCTTAATTGGGGATACATATTGTGACAGATGGGAACCATACACTGAGCGAAGCCCGATACGCTTCTGCCCGATTTTTGACGTTATATCAAAAGATTAAGGTTCAAAATAGCTTCTAGTAATGACAGTTTTGGTATACATTGATAAGCTGTCGTTCTTGGACATATCAAAATGTATACCTAGTCATAAATTGTCAATCGTAACGTGAACAGTTGGCAGGTCTAGCTGCACAACGCTGGCTGGACGCCAATCTTGTACTAGTAAGTTTATAATAATTTTGTTCGTGTCAAACTTTAATAAATAAAACTGTTGTTTCTATAGGGATAGCGTTTATTTAGAGTTAGTCATTTTGATCCTCTTATTGCGATCTCCAATTCGATAAATGAGGTCCACGCATCAGCCTATAAGTGTCCATAGGTAGTGCTGAGCTTCCACACGAAAAAGGCTAGACTATTAATCACCACGCTTGCTCAAGGCGAATTGGTCGTTTCAAACTTTAATTAGAAATTTTAAGTCCAGGTTTCATAACGAAACCAGAACGTACGGCGCGTAGCGTTCCGCACGTGTCTCAAAGATCACCACAGAGAGAACCCTATAGGGCTGATGTTCAGCCAGGATTGCAGGGCAAGCTCAATTACGTATAGCGGGCTCGGCCTAGATCAGGAGCAGGGGGCTTTTAGTCATTAAGACTCTCCCTCTCGCCTCACCCTGGGCTAGAGAAGAAATTGTTAGACTTTTTTCTCATTATAAAAGTTTCTTCACGATGTTTTCCTACACCGCAAGTCAGTGATGTCTAAATAATCATAGAAAGTAGGTACTCATGTAACTTGGAAAAGTCACATTGGTGCTTGCCAGGATGCCAGGAGATGAAGAATGACGTAAGGATTTTTTTTTTTTTGTTAGCTTAGTACGAAGTTGTCTCCTCTTTGTAATTTTGCACTCTAAGGCTGTTATCTACTTCACTGGGCTACAGTTAACACTCTGTTACTCAATTAAAAGGCTTATTCAGAGGACGGGTTGGATAGCTAATTAGTAATTTAGCTAGTCACTTGGGATATACCAATAAACACAAAATTCTCCCACTAACAGTGACAGAATGACAGATAGAGAAATCATCCTCATCATCATCATCATTACCATCAATAAAGATCAACAAAAGTGAAGATTTAGTTTCCATATGTTTGACATCATAACAATAAAATTTTGACATTATTACAATAAGTGTTGCCAGACGCTGTTATAATAATTACACACCTATCAAATCTTTGTAGGATTACTTAGTAGTTTGGCATTAATTACTGATTGACAGATTTATTAAGAGAAGCACAGCGAACGACATCCAACATTCATAAATAACACACGCCCAGTGACATATTTGCCCTTTACATATTTAAATGACATCAACATTCGCCACAGATACAAAACACAACACAATCAAGATTCTATATTTAAAATCTAGTGAAAGTAATCGAGAACGGATCATGCTGGCCGGAGATCCGCGTTCTAATTTTAAATTCTCGCGCCAATCGACCTACATTCCCTCGCGGTTTCCTGAGGGACGATGTCATAGACAGACATTTTGACAGATCTCTACACAGTACTAGGTGCAACGAACTCGAATAAAAAAAATTATTATGAGTAAATATGAAAGATTCTATTAGAAGTATTAATTATTATGAAGGGATATTAATATTTACCTACACAGTTTATTCTAAATGAGAATAAATTTGTAAAAATAAGAAGATATTATGATTGTGACTAGTTAATCTGAATGAGTCAAGAACCTGAGTAACGTAACATTATGTCGTTAATATTTTTTGTTAATGAAAACGCCTAAAATGCCTCATTATGAAAACTAGACTATGTGTGTACTCAATAATAGCTCTAGTCACTTTAACAACCTATAAACCAACAAGTAGAATTATGA